TGGACTTCAGAAAATGGATTTAACTTCCAAAATATCACTTTTACATATGCACTGGAACAGACTTTTGAACAGCACAAATCACAAAACACTATACTCTTTGACACCATTTCCCCAAAAAGGAAAAGCAATGAAAGCAGCCCTTATTGTATTAAAGAGCTCTAAAAGTGTATAAATCAAACTGGAAAAGTTCTTTGCAAATTGATTGAGGTCTTTGCTCTTGTTCTGAAACCCCACCTGTTTAAATCTGAATGACTCTGGCCACATCTTAGACAGTCAAGATTTTGTCATTTTATCAGCTTTGAAATAAGACTCACTTGGACAAAGTACAGCAGTCTGTTAGATTCACACACCCCTTTGCTTCTGTCAGCACACAGCAACCAGACGGGTTGTCCATTTAAGGGAAAAAGTACAAGCTCCAGCCTATTTCCCTGTACTTCGGATGTGTTTGTCCCACTCCTTCAGCAATGCATTCTGTAATGCCAAAAAACATTTCCTTTCTTACAGCAGTCATACACACATGCACACACATATATGCATTTCTCATTAAGTTTTAATTAAGCTTTTTAATTATAGGAAATGTCTCTTTCTCTGTATTTCTGAGCGTGTAAAACATTGTGGAGGAGGCCACAATCTATGTAATCTTATATATCATCTTCAGAGCTACAATTTGTACGCTTTACTTTAGAGATATAGTCCAGCCAAAGCAGAATGAGAATGAGAGGGCAAAGCCATCTCGAATTAAAAAAAGCACAGCTGTCCCAACACAGGCAGACTTTCTGTTTGCACTGATATTAGTACTTATTTTACTATGATGCTAAGAATAAAAAGTAATATAGAAAGTACAGATTAACCACAGAATCAGGAAGAGTAGGTGAAAAGACCCAAAATAAAAGGAAAAATCTAATCAAGTACTCTGAAAGGCATGCTTTTCAGAAATACATTAGTTGTCATACAATTTTCAACATGATCAGAGACTCCCACTATTTCTTCTCATCAGGACATAGGCACGATTGTTTCTGTCCTTTGGACACCTAACCTCAAAGCATAACTACAGGACTGTTACAAGTTCTGCTAGCACTAACGTGGTACAAGTACTAGCTACTAAATAGAAAAAGAGAGGTTAAGAAATCTTAATATTTTATGAATTGCTTCCTCAGCTATCCAGTATCCTCCAAAGCCAAGAAAAGCCTGTATTCCCCAAATAATTACCAGTATACTGTATAAAATTAGGAAACAACTTTCAGTAGGAAACACTGAGAGAAATTAAAAGAGAAAAAGCTAGAAATTAAAAGAACCACAATAAGATGGTGAAGCTGAAAAGTTTAGGTGTTTGGGCTTCTTGTAAAGAAATACTGAAACTATTCTATAGAACAGAATATCTTTATTATATCACATACACTATTTTATGTTCCCAGCTTTCAGTTCTTATCCTAGGTTTTATAAACTAAATCTTTTGGTGAAATAGGAAGTATGAATAGATTGAGTTCCCTTTCCTTTATACTGTTGTTTCATCTGGCTTCTTCACAAATATTCACTCTATTTCTCCAAATAGCATTTTAGATATGTATAAGGACAAAATCCCCACTCCAAATTCAGTTTATATATTCGAAATGCATGGCAACCTGCAATGACAGACCTTGAGAAAGGAAGGTAAGAAACAAGAAATTGTAGGAAAAGTAAAATGTCTCTTAGGAAAAAAAATGTTTGGACAGGAATATAGATGATCCATTTTGTTAAATGCTCTTGAGGGAAATTTATCTGTTAATTACTGAACATTAAAACCTGATCTTATTAAATTCAAAGGAAATCTCATTCTGAGTTCAGTGGCATAAACTGACCTCTGACTGGCACAGCTCTGAGGCACATTCTTAATTTCTGCCTGAGGGTACATCAGCTGAATTAGATAAGATTAGCAAAAGCCTTAAATAAAGCATGCATGGAATCTGTGCCAGCAGAAAGATCCTGTATCAGGAGGAGTTTTACTGACACACCTTTTAGTATGGAAATGGCTACAGTGGTGAAATTGTGAGCCAAAGGAGCAAAACAGGGCACTCTGGCAAAATAGAGATTTCCTAATTTACTAATGCTTACTCCACAAGTTGCTTCCAGGCAGCACATCTGTATCTTCAGGAATCCTACCTTGGTCGCCATAGCTCTGTTAATATTAAAGTTCAGTCTTTTCATGATATGAGTGTCAGGTGCTACAGTGAGTGGCACTATAGAAAACTCCTGTGTTCTTATGACAATTTCCAGCTTACTAAAGGCAGTAGCATAGAAGGTGGGCCAGTTAACACCAGAGCTGAAGGTTAATAGTCTATCAGATATGAGAAGGAGAGGTACAGGAAAATCAAGGCATATCTAAGCAGGGACCAAACAGTGCTCAGACTTGAAGATGAATTTCAAGTCTTTGAATTTGATGTTAAAAACAAGCAGACATTCTACAAAGAGATTGAAAGACTGAGGTGATGAAAAAACCACTCAGTTAAGATGATGAATTAGCTGTGGCTAGATTGGTTAAAATTATAATAAAATAAATAAAATAATTAAATAATAGTTCATAATAAATAAACATTACCATAAAATAAATTATAATATCACTTCAATGAAGGTAAATGAAGAAGCCAGAGAGGCTGGAAAGTGGATTCATATTGGGAGGAATACACAGTCCTTAGCACCATTAAAGTCACCATTCATTCCACAGTTATTCTAATATAAACAGAATAAAAATAATGTTAAATGGGGAAAATAAATGGATATGCTACATCTACTTGTCTTCCACAAAAATCTCTACAATGGAGTGTATCACCAAAACATAAACTACTTTTTGATTTAAAATTGACCTTGGTTTCACTGTAGTCAGTAGGAGATTTGGCTATTTTTCAAATATGAAACCATCTGTTGAATAGCCACATTACATATTCCACAGATTTGATTGGAAAATCCCAGAGCCTCTTTGTGGACACCTGTTGAGAAAAGTAATTTTAGCCTCCTCCTCCATTTTGAAGTGGGAAGGAAGACAGATGTATGTAAAATCACAATGTGTTAGAGTTGGAAATTGCTATTAGACTGTTCAAATGTCACTTCATTTGATAGTTATCAGGCTAATAAATATGCTTTTTGATTTTAAAAACTTTGCTAAAAGTAAATTGTGCAAGACAACTAAAGTTGTAAAACCACACATTATGCTGAGCAACAACTAAACTGAAAAAGCAGTCAATATCAGCATATCATTTTCCCAGATTTTGCCATCCCTATATATTCAGAAGGTCATTTCTTCACAGTTTAATTTGCCAAAAGTTTCACTAAAGAGAAGAAACAGTAATTTTCACTTAAACGTCAAGATGACAAAAACTATACAAATCATATTGTCTCAGTTTTAATCCTCACTGTATAGACTTCTTATGAAAAAATAACTTTCTCAGGATATGTCCCTATTAAAAAGTAATTCCAAAGTTTCCTTTCGAGATTTAGATTTAGGATACTATAGGGCTCTAGTAATTCCACAGTAATGATTATCACATTAAATCATGGCCACGAAAAAGTGTTTCTGTTTAGTGCTTTAGTGTGCCCCTTGCTATGAAATAAAATGTAAACTTATTACTTTTTGCTTTTAAGAATTTTTTTCCATCCTAATACTTCATTTATTTTGTTGTTTCACAGGCAGTTACAGTCTCAGTCAGCAAGTCAAAGTTGCTTCAAAGTATTTTAATTCCATCCAATCCATCCACTGCTAAGATGTGGTATTGATGTCATTTATGTAGTATGCAGGGATGCAACTAGAATTATTTAGTGAAAGCAAGACATTCTCATCTCCCTGAGGCAGTCCCAGAGTCCATAGACTAAGTGTCAAACACCACAGACAGTCAGCATAGACTCAGTTAGTTCATTCCTTCTTTAGAACAAATATTTTTCATCTGAGACAATTCTATACAAATCTGTGGTTTTGCCTGGGTTAAGTGCATTCCTTAAATCTTTGCTTTCACAACTGAATTCATATTGCATATGAACTCATAATCAGTATGTCTTTTAAAGATTCATGCATACTCAATTCCTTTCTTTGGAGAAAATGGCTTTAAAATATGTGGTGGGGAGGGCGGGAGGAATTCATTCTTCAATTGATCAAACAGCTTTTATCAGTTTAGACAAAGTAAATCATATTAAGCAATTCCTCCCTTAAATTACATGACCCTTATGGGGTCATAGGACATGCATTTCCAAGAGACAATCAGGCTTCCATCCTATTGTCAGGGTAAAACATCTGAGAACTGGTTTCTCATTTATTTTGCCGGAAGAAACATACACACTTTAACAACAATGACCCAGCTCAAGCACACTTAGGTACAATAAACATAAGGTCAATCTTTTTGACACTTGAATTATACAGCTAATCAAATGAGCAGAGATTAATATTCATTATATGTAAATAAGTACAAGAGAAAGAACCAAGAGCTGTTGTCACAAAGGTAGTACGAAAGGCATCAGGTGTGTCCGTGTGAGTTAATAAGGAAACAAAAAGTACAAATGCGCTGGGTCACGAAGTTAATTCTGTTACTGTATGGCTGTTTCCTCTCATTTATCACACAGGCTGCCACTGTTTTTAATAGCTGCTAGACTATCATTGGTAAGGGATGATATGTATTCTATTATTAAATGTTGGTTTGTCTTCTGTCAGCATGTAAGCAGATATAAGCAAGATACATGTAAAAATCTATGCACACTTTTTCATATTACTACTAGCTACTTGACTGTGCTTGTTCTCAGAACTGCAAAAGTTATTTAAACAATGCTTTTCTATGGTGGAAGTGTAAAAAGACCCCCAAAATCTAAAACTGTTATCCCAGCTTTCATCTACTAACAATATTTTCAAACCATTCAGAAGATTGTTCAAAGAAGGAAAAAGACAGCATATATTAGAAAAGAAAATTCTTGTAAAAAAGACACTGGAAAACAAAAGTTCTTGTAAAAAAAAAAAAAAAAAAGGCTTTGGAGCTCAGTCTTACCTGTCAGCAACACGAACCCAGGAATATGTCCTTTAACACTGCGAGATTGCAGTAGCTTGTCCCACAGCACTACCACAGCAGTAGACTGCTCCAGCTCAGGAGAACACAAAGATAGAAACTTTTCCCACGTTCCTAGGTCTACCAGCCGCTGAAGTAATGAAGAAAAGAAGGTGGAAAAGAAGAAGACCGGAGCTGCTTCTCTCAGAAATCCCAGGCAGGAGGAGTAGGAGTACTCTGTCTGTGTCTCACCCAGACTTTTGTTTAAAAGTTTTTTCAACTGTTGCTAGGTGGTGTTAGGCTTTGGCAGTTTAGTTCTCAGATTGTATTTCCCCTCTTCTGGTCTCTTCACACAATGTTACAGCAATGACTTCGTTGAGCTCAGCTCGCTTGTGCTATATTTAACCAGTGTTCTCAGCAAGTCAAGCCTGTCAACAGCTGAGAAGTTTGGAGCAGGCTTTGCTGAGTTCCTCAGCTGCTGAATTATCAGTGGATGTAGCACTGCACAGCCCAGCTACTACATTCACTGAAAGATTGTGGGGAAACTGTCAAATCCTTTTAAGGGCTTCCAGTGACTTCACAGGAGTAATTACTATTTAAAGCACTAAGTACAAAATGTGTATTTAGGCATATATTTTAGACTGCTAGAGAAAGAATACTTGTGTTCGCAGCAGATGAGTTCAATTATTTATACAGTGAGAATTTTCCTAGGACAAGTAGGAAGTTTATAATTTGAAAGGTATGCACTTCAATTGAGGAAAAAATACATGTGGGGAGAACTTTTTGCAGCATAATTTCTTACAGAGTTTAAATATATTAAGATGACACAGAGAAATTAATGAAAGGCTTAGGCTGGAAAGTTTTCACTGTGATATTTATTCCTAAGACAACCTTTTTCTCCCAGACCAAGAGCTTCCTACAGTAATTTCTACACTGTCTCTAACTCTCACTGAAGAAGAAAAGGAAAGCCACACAAATCACAGTTTGTTTGAGTATTAGGAACACGTTACTGCAGGGCTGTACACATTCTGATGTATACACACTTGCTTCTGGACCTAATTGTTGTTCTTAATTCTAAGCCATAAGTCTCTTAATGCACAGATCAGTAGTAACATTGGACTGCTTTCAGCTGACAAACCATTATGATATCAGGACTCTACAAAGATGTTGCAGATCTCAGACTACAGAACAAGGTTCTACCACCTTATGGCAGAACAGTCTCTGAAAATATCTCTGGGAAAGAAAATTCCCTACCCTGACAACTCTTGCTTTTCTCTAGTGTTGATCTCTGGTATTGATCTAGGATTTGATGAAGAAGAAAGAAAGAAAGAAGAAAAGGAAAAAAAAAAAGTAAAAAGATACTAAGAGATTTGATGGTTGATATTTATACATGAAGACATATCAACCTTCCAGACCAAAAAAAGAAAGATTCAAGCAAGTCATAACAGCATCCTGCAGTGATGCTGGGTTGCTGTGCAAGGAGCAGGATGAGTAGTGAAAATGTATCATGCTCTGTGATTTCAACATGCAGGAACACAATTGGCCACAACTACATGAGATACCAGGGGGTGAGTGCAAGCCCTTATGAGAAGCAGCTGCAGAATTAGCTGTAGCCTGGTGTTCTAACCCTGTCTCTGGAATTACTTCCACTTGATCTGTGTTATTGTCTAAACAAGCAAGGAACAATGAAAAAATACTTTCATTCCCAAGTTGCTCATAAGAAGAAAATGAAGTAAATATTAGGTATTATGTCAAGTAACTGATATTTAGACATTGATGACACTTTTATGAAAGCCCTAAACACTTGATCATGTCAAATATATTTTATTTTGGACACCAAGTAATAGTCACTAATTTCCATTTCCATTTCAATATTTGACTTGGACAGAATAGCTAAAATATATAAAAAATAGGAACGCTTCTGTTTTTCAGAAACAGCTATTTGGAAGACTATTGTAGAGACAGATAACATATGGGCATAAAGTTTGCTGTTACATGCTTCCACTTTGAACTGAAACGAGTTACAGATATCCACATTCTAAAAAGAATATCTAATTTTGTTCCCTCAAATTGAGGTACTCCAACCAGATGAGTAACGTTTTGACTATTCTGGCCTTAACTTCTTGCTCAAAGTGCAATATTAATAGCACTTTATCCATTCAAATATAATAAATCAGACAAACAAAACTATTAACTTGGCTCATAGATCTCAACAAAAAACAAATGATTCTCAACATTTCTCTCCCATTAGTTAGTGCCATATTCACTGAGTGGAAAAGAATAAAACTTCTTAGGAGGCATTCTCAGCTGCCAGCCCTTGTGGGTGGGTTTCAGTAGCGACCTGCTGGTACGAGTCTGCTCATTCTTGTACACTTACAAACTTACTCCCCAGCTGTGCACCATTGATATTAATCCTCTATAAAAAGGTGAATTTCAGCAAAAAAACTTTGGGAAAAGAGAATTGATTAGGTTTTTCAAGTGGAATAAAAGGAAAAACAGAACCATGAAAGAAACTTTTTAATTTGGCATCCTACATGGTCCTAATGTCAAGATCCAGCATCATCTGAAGTCCTAGTGACATCCTACAATTAAGTTTAAAAAGTGACTTCCGTATAATTTTTGATAATTTTGTTATCTCTTAGTCAAGCAACCAAGATACTAGAGTCCAAAGCAAATAACTCTAACAAAATTTGCCTATGGAAGCCAAAGTTCTCAGCATTATTTCAATCAAAGCACCAAAGGCCAGAGCAATGCAAAGCAAAGGGAACAAAATGTGGCTCTAGGGAGTGAACAAGAGCAGCAGCAGGACCTATTGACATTTTTGAAGATAATGCTAGTCACAAATACATAAGAGGGACTGTCATTGTCAACACTATCATATTTCTTTGTACTTACTTTGCTGGAAAATGCAAGAAAAAGTTTTACTACCTGATCTCTTCTAGAGAAATTCCAGGCTTGAGGCAGAAATTGCTGGCAGAAAATCCATGTTTTTTACAGAGAAGTTCAAAAAATATGTCTTCCTCTGACCTTACTGGTTGCTCTTGACCTTAAAATGTGTGCCCATAAAAAAGATTTTTCTGGAACACATATAATAGTATTACTATATAATTTTGATATCAACAATCCATCACTTTGGTATACAAGTATATCTCACTCTCTTAAGTCATAGAGGCATCCAGAGATACAGCCTACTACCTTTGTCCTTTTCAAATATTTTACATCATAATTAACTGGACCAATATATTGAAAAAAAAAAACTATCTAAATAGACTTAGAGTTTCTTAACTGTATGTCCTGAGGAGCTCTAGTATGCATACAATTCTGTGTGAGCAATGCCTGACAGTTCTTTGTTAAGTTGCTTCTTAAAATGCATTGAAGTAACCAGTGGTTTTGTTTCTAAAAAATTAGGTTTTCAATTGCTCGAAGGGTAAGGCACCATAGTCTTCTGACACCCTGCTTTCATAATAGGTATTGCTCACTTCCATAAAAACTGTACTATTTGAGATCATGCTACTGCTTTTAGCTTTGTCTTGGCTTTACAGTATAAATGTGCTGCCTCACATTGTCTTAGAAGGGAGGGTGTGCAATCATATTCTGATTAATAAGATCTTGGCTGAACTCCCTCAAATCTGTATTTTGGGACGGCTAGGTATTTTTTTCATTTTTCCAGACAATATTGCTACCTTATAAAAGCTGATAGTGCTTTTTAGATCTTAGGTCTGTTATATTTTCAGCTCAAGTACCTGCTTTTTTATAACCAAAGGGAAAAAAACCACATTTCTGCCATTTAGTTCATAGATTTAGTTTAGTTTAGTTTATAATTTTATCAAAAGATCCCAGTCACAGTCACAAACCTCCAGGAACACTTACTGGGGTTTTATAGTCTTTTCAGTAAAAGTTTTGCATGCTTTATCACTGAAATAAAACCAGGGTACCTTTCATTTCGGTTCTTCATATGCTGCCTTCATCTATATATTGTCTTCAAAAGGTATTTTTGGGTTTTTTTTTAATTGTCATTTTAATGAAAGAAACATATTAAAAGATACATCCATCTCAGTTATTTTAAATCTCTTATTTCTCCATTGTGCAAAGAAAAATATTGACATTTCATAAATTTTCTCCAAATAAAGTGAGGTGCAAATCAAAGATGGGACAATTAGATACACAGCCACATGCAGAACATCAGATGGCCCATTGGACTTAGAGGTGAACAACCCTTTCTACAAAAAATGACAGGGAAAAACAGTGATAACTTTAGAATGACATTTGGATGCTTTTGACTCTGAAGACCTAGAACCTGGGTCAAATGAAAACAGTTTGAAGCACAAGTCTGTAGGAAAGTGTCAAATCAGACCTCTGGAAATGGAGTAAATCACCTTATTAGCTTCACTGCTGCACCCCAGGAGTGGTATGCAACTTGCTCCAAGACTAAGAAAAAAATGAGCTGAACATGGATTAATTGCTTTTAAGGCCAGAATAAACTATTTTTATAATCTAATATAGCCTCTTACACAGAAAAGGCTTGGAATTTGCCTCATGCAAAACAGCAAGTTGCAGTGAATTAAAGCACACCTTTTAGAAAGGTTATATAAAACAAATATGGATCATTTCCTGCAGCAATGTATAATGCAGTACAACAGTAAATTACACTTACTATTTCAAGGTAACCCAACCTTTGGAATTTATTTCCAGTTTGATGTTGACTGACTTTAGCTCATAGCCCATGAGATGACTAGTCAGTGGCCTTCAATGTCTCTCGATTTGCTCAATTCTAAATAAGTTAGAAATAAGAGAAAATCTCTTTACCAAGTCTCCTTCCCCCACCCCCTACAAATTAATCATCTTTAAATGAAATGCAGCACTCTGAGGTGAAACACGGCAGTCTTTGTAAGCTAGGAATATTACACTGTAAATACTTAAAGCAGAAGTAATAGAATATTTTCTCCAAACAAAACAGATCATCTGAATTTTTATTAAAGCTGCAACATCTAAGGACTAGATGACCAAGAAGGGCACCTCTGGTCGTCGGAAAGAGAGACACATATTATTGGATGTCCCGAGGAGGTGAAGCTCTGGTTTGACATCTCCAAGAACACAGTGCCACCTATCTTTGCGTTTGGGTTAGCTCATGGCAGGCAGCGGGAAAGGATGGAGAGAGGGGGAGGTATTCTTTGCACCCAGTTCTGCACCATCCTTTGCTTCCTTGCTTGGTTTCCAGAGGACTAGGTGGAGGCTTCCTCCACGGCAAATCCCCAGATTGCAGCTGTATTTCCTCTAAGACACTGGCTTCTGCCATCCACTCATTGCTATTTACATGGTTCACTTCAGGCTGGTTACACCTTACTTCACTTAAAACATTGTAAGCTGATAATCCTATCATTAGTGCTTTTGT